ACATTATATATATATAATACAATTTTTTTATTCTTTTATTGTCAGTAAACAAATATTTAAAGTTATAAATTATAATTATAATATAAGTAGAATTTATTTTATGCGAGAAAAACAAAAATTATAACACAAAGACACAACAAAATAAAATTTTTTATTTTTTATGATTAAATAATTTTGAATGCTTAGTGCTAGTTTTGAATTATTGCAAATATTAATTGTAAATTTCTATATAATAATATCCATTATAAAACTTGGTCTTATTAAAAAAAAATTCTTTACTATATGGCTGTAAAATTATTTAAATAGGCTTTTAAACTGCGTCGTTCATTGGCCAATGCAGTAGTATTTGAACTGAAAACTACATCTAGTTATTACATTTGACAATCCGATTTGCTGATGTAAAGTTGGTAAATTTGTAATAAATTGATTGCTTTTACGGTAAGATAAATTATTGTTGTGTGCATTTTACGTAACTTGTACTATAAAATTGAAGATTGTTTAAAAGAAATCGTTTCTTCTTATAATATGCAGGTAAGTTATTTTAATGAAGATACGTAACACATTTAATGTGTTTATGTTTTTTCACATATGTATTTCGAAGTAATAGTATGATCAAATTTGTTATTATGCCAATGTTAATTAATTTTTTTTATTACAATTTAACATTTTGGGAATTATTCTTAGAGGTTATGTAAGTTTAATTCAATAGTTATTATTGTTTTATGAAATCGTAGAACAAAATTCAGTTTTGCAGCAAATTTATTTTTGAAACATTTTCTAGAAATCTAATGATTTGAAAGGCATTGTTTCATTCTATTTATAATAAATTTATTAACTCTTGTTTATTTGTAATATTATGTGGCTTAATCTTTTTTTCAATTTATTTCATGTATGATTACTTATTTTGATATATAGTTACTGTGCTTTTATTAGTTTTTGAAAGCTTCATAATAGTGAATTGTTTGTTACACATAAAATACATACGCTATAGATTATTGTCATTAGATGTATATGTATTATGACTTCTTTGTTAAGAATAAAGTGTTTCCAAAAATTATAATCTTTGTTTAAATATTATTTAGTTAATTAGATTAACTTTCATGTCTCTAGATAAATATTTACTACTAGAATGGATTTGTTACATGAAAAAATATTTACATGAATGATATAAGGAGGTATACTTTTTGATTGAGATAAATCTTTTTTATATTATTAATTTAATAAATACAAGAGTCAAATTCCTTTTTTTAAATATATTTTTTATTAGATAATTTATTTGTATGTTTAAATACAACTTTAATAACCTATGAAATATCCATTTGATTTTGTCTGATTTTTGAGATATTATGCAAGCAAATGCATAGAAGAAATATAATGCCCAAGAGAGAAAATATCGCTGATGGCCTGTGTTGGGTGCTCAAGTGCTGAAACTTATATGCTTAATGCTGTCTACCCAAATTTATTACTTGACCAACTCAGACTATCACCGATTCATTTAAAGAAATTTACAGCATTGCTTTCAAACTCTGAAGAACAAGATTCCAACTATTAAATAACACTTGGACATGCTAGAATAAAGGTAATGTATAATATTTTGAACAAAATTTAATTTATCATTAAATATTTAAGTTTATATTATATTTACAGAGATAAAGAAAGGCTTCATCATATGTTACAGGAGTTATTAGTCTTAAATCTGGAAATAT